GTCGAACGTTTCGCTGCTGACCCAGTTCCAGCGCGCAGGAATCGCGAATAGTCTCGTAACGGAGAACCGTCGAATTTAAAATTAATTGCTGCGCGCTGTGTTTCGAGTTTGCCGAACGATACGCTGGGACGAAGTTTAATAGATTTCGGGGAAGATTAAACGTTAAACGCGTGGTGCTTGTATATGTCGAGGGTTACGGTTAAACTGTTTTGGGTCGAATAGTCAGGAGGATTTAAAAACTTATGGGTGAGATGTATATTGTTGTTTTTAAATATAAAAAGAGATTGGTTCATTAGATTTGACGGGGTATGGCTTTAGTTTAAATATAAAATTGAAAAACATTTGTTGATAATCATAGAAGAACGTGCATTATTTTGCTTACAAAAGTAAAATCAGTTTGCAGGTTTCAATATGATCAAACCAGTTAGGAATAAAAAATTAACTCTGTATTATATTTTGATATATAATGCAACAAAATTTCCTGTGAAACACCAATAATTTTCAAGTTTCATAGTCCGTTAAAAAGTCCAATCACCGTGTCCATTACCCGAGAAGTACTACCAATCACGTAAATGCTGTCAAAACGCTTTACCCCGGACAATCAACGATGAGTCTTAAATATGTCAACGAGGACGAAGAAACGGTCGACATAATTTACCGATCGTGGGACGGGCCGATCTATTACTTTGCACCGTCACGGAGATCAGGATCGCGCGGAACGATAAGCATGGGTATCCTCATTCGGCCGAATTGAAAGGGAGAGAAAAAAAGAAAGAGAGAGAAGGAGAGAGAGAGAGAGAGCAAGAGAGAGGAAGGCAATCACGATCAATCGCGATGAATTCAATCGTACCCGCGTTCCGCTCCTTTGTGCGATTGTTGCGAGAGACGCGTGAATGGATCCAAGTAATTCCTTCCTCGAGATCGCACGGATTGATCCTCGTGATCTTAATCGAGGATCCCGATGGTCAGGAAGAACGTATAATTGATTTAAGCTCGAAACGGAACGCTTTTAACTCTAATTTGCGAGCTGAGCGCGTCTCACGGATCCTCATTGTGCGATTTCGGGCACGCTTCCTGCTCGCGCACGGCCGAGTAACAATAATGAGCGGCCGTACGACTCTTCCAGATTGATCTTTACGAGCCCTGCGATGCCGAAAACGCACGATCCGCTCGTTCCATCAAACAATGGCGAACGAAACGACAAACAAACGCGTTCGCGGTTCAACGATAAAAAATGACTGTGTGCTATCATTCAATTCGCTCGTTATTCAGCGTCGCCGCGGTTCCACGTTGCCATGGACGAGCGGTTTTATGAAAGTTTATGAACACGGTCAATTGAATGCAATCGCGAAAATTAAATGAAGCAATTTGATCGCGTTGAACAGAGCCTGTGACGTCTCAGAGATGGATATGAAGAACACTTGAACGCAGTTTCGCTAATGCGTCCTGATGAATCAGCTGCGGACCATTGTGGGATACAATGTATGCCGTGATGTCGAGATTCTGAAGTTATTCGATCTCTCGCTTAATCAGAATACTCAAGTTCGCTGCGAAACTTCCATTCTCGCAAATGGTCTGGTGCAGGGGTCAGATGTGAATGCGAATTGAATTAAATTGACGATGGACCGTTCAGTGGTTCATCTAGAACATTGACTGAGGGCGTAGTTACGAGAAACATTCAAATGGTTACCACGAATTTTTCCCTGTTTCTTCGCATTGAAATATAAAGAAAATTGCACGTTGCAATTATCACATACATATTAGACGAATTTTCCTAATCTTGTACTTACTTGAATATTCTATGTGTCAAAATTGAAAGACGTTGGAAATCTCGAAAAATATAGAACCCTTTTGTTCAAGTTTAAAAGTAATGTTTTCTGATTCGTCTATCGAGTACACTTTTCAAGATAGTAACGTAAATTCCTAAAATTCCTTGAAGAGGACATTGCAAATTTTTACTTATCACATGGATGCGATTTCCAACTGGGAAAAACAATTTACGAATCCTTTATTGCAGTGAGAGTTGTTTTATCCTATCGAACCTTCGTCTTTAACACCACATTTACGGGATTCTGCTCCCTTATTTCGTCTTCCCAATTACCTCCGCTAATGAGACCGTTGAATAACGGGACGGTCTCTATAATTAACCAGCAATCACGCCTACAGTTTTTCGTATTCGGTAAAAGTGAAGTTTATATAATTCCATGTTGTTACCCGAAGTTGCCCGCGGGCAACGCGGAGACAACGTTTGACCGCGCCTAGCCACAGCACTTTCCACGATAATTAACTACAGCGTTATCCCGGTCACGTGATGGTCGTTAGTTGTTATTCCATTCGTTTATTCGTCCCCAGGCGAATCGTAAGAATAGCGCGAGACGAGAGAAGCCGGCGCATAACAATGACCATACGCCATGACGAAAAACGTGTCATAACTCGTTGAATTCCGGCATCGCGAGCCAGCAATTAGTCGCCGCGAAAGAATCCTAGATAACGAACGAGCCGATAACATCGACGTCTCGAAGAGACCCACCGCGAAGAATAGACTCGGGGGTCATTACCGTTATAACCAAAGCGAAAGAGTCATAGGATAATTATTTCCTCAACTGAAACGTTTTTGATTGCAAACGCAGTAGAATCTCCATTATCTGATTTAGTTTGTCAATTAATGGTAACGATACATGGAGACTCGAGAAGAAATTTTTCAAAATATATTTGTAAAATTTCGGATTATTGAGTTCCAATGTAAACAGGGCTCTAGATAATTTACATTGCGGCAAATAGCGATTTAGTTAATAGAAATCTTACTGTAATGATTGTATGTAATCGAAAATTTGTTCGGTACCGATAACTATTCTTGATAGGGGAAATTTATTTCGATTGTTCATAACAACTATAAATGAGAGAAATTGTATTACTCTTAAAAAGATTAATTTTTTAAATATATTTTGTGACAATTTTTCTCTATATTTTGTGATTGATGTTTTCACCTTTAATATTAATTAAGTTTCAAGCGCTGATACCTTTCATAAAAGGTTTTGCGATAACTGATTTTTGGTGCCTGAATGGAATGTCGCAACGCCGTTCGAGACGCACAGGAATTTCATCCGCGGCGTTGGAAAATCGTTGAAACGGGAATTAGTTGATATTAGGTAACGTGACGAGTTATGAAGAGTTTGCGTTACAGCATGTAATTAACGCTCGGCTGCATGTTTACCGTGATCTCGAGAATGACTTTTCAATTTTCATTACGGAACTGCTACTGCAAATTAAAGACATTCCAGGTATCAGGGAATTTTACTGTATTTCCCTTTCACTCGAAAATTTCATAAATGCCAATTACATTACGGAAGCACCGAGAGAAGATACCAGAGGTGCAAATTAATGGAAAATAAAATTTTTTTCTCGTCCATAGAAACGAATGTCCATTAACACTCATGCGAGCAAATTGTCCACGAAGCTTCGATATTAGAGACTTTATGCATCAATTTTAATTTTAGGTGTTAAATAATAAAAGAAAACGAAGTGTAATAATATTCGAAAGGGGGAATTACACCGGTAGACGGTATACAGTCAACAGTACGTACTTAAAATTCCGAAGAGTTAAAGTATTATTAAATAATCTTATTGGACTGTAGATACCTCACAAATAGCATAATATTACAGTAAGGATAAAACCACTCAATACCAGCTGTACAATTTTGTTCGACAAGATAACTTCGTCTGGAACGGAAGTTTTCAGAATATTTTAACTCTAAAACTACCAGACGGGTCAAAATGACTTATCCCTGATTTCTTCTGTTTGTAATTATTAAAAATATGACAGATATTTCTGCGAGAAATTACTAAAGAAACTGATTTAGCAATGCGCAAACTAAATTGTAGATTAATTGAAGTCACAATGGATGCACTCTTGAAGTTTTTATAGAGGAATTTCAAAAAGTCGACTTAACTGCTCGGTAGTTTTAGCGTTAAATAATTTCCAAAGATAGTGAAGATTACAGTGCTGACGTGCGACGCAGCAACGGGGTGACGAATTCTTTCGGGAGCCGAACGATGAATGCCGGTGTTCGAAATTTGAAGAACGGGGTCGCGTTCAAACAGATAATCTTGACCAACCGCGGAAGTTCCTGAAAGGACGTGATCGTTGAAAAGGCCGCACGAGAAAACCGTGAGATTCTGAGAAGTGTTTAGGTAAAGAACCCTTGTCGCGACGACCCCCTATCCGACGCCACCTTGATTCCTGATCTCGACTGGTATTTCCGCCTGGAGATCTTTTGGATCTCCGAGCGACGTCACGACCCTCGTGCGGTTTGAAAAGGGTCCGCTTGTAAACGAAGAATGTACTCGTTCCAGAAAACACTCACAGTATCTAGGGGCCAGAAGTGTAATGCATTTGGGTACTTTAACAAATGTTCTGGATCATTGCCCACTTAACACGTTTCGTAACTTGCGAGCCGACAATGTGAAACTATGTTTTTATTTGTCATTACGCGTATTCTGTATACTTTCGAAGTTCAATACAAGAAGTTTAGTCGACAATTAATTTCAATCATTTTTGTACAGTGAAATTTAACGTACGGAATTGATTAACATTTCGATGGATTCAAATGTAATTTATACACAAAATCGTTTAGTTTTATGAATGTTATTATACGATCGAATATATTGGCAATTATAAATTTTGAAAATATTTGTGATTTGTTAATTAATTGTAATAGTAAAGAAAAGTCGTTTGATGGGATAGCTCGTAACAATCCTTGTAAAAGGGCATTTATTTTTTCCTTCAAAGAGAAAAATTCAAGATGATACTTTAACCTTGTAACTAGGTAATCTTATTAAAAAAAAGATGTTGATACAATTAAAAAATAATTGCACTTGTATAGTATTTGTGAAAGAATTATTTTGTATACCTAGTTAAAAGATAAGATCAAATATTAATTTTCTGTGAGCATTGTCTACTCACGCTTTTGCTGTGGCTGGTGCTGTGCGTGTGATGCGTATCGATCTTCATGTTGGCACACCGATTCAAAGCGTGCAATCGTCGGAACAGACTCTGCAGAGAATCAGCCTCGAGGAAGGGGTGGTCCTTCGCTACGCCAGAGACGTCTATCGGGAACTGATAATCTGCAACAAAGAGAGAACACACATTAATCAACCGTTTAATTCGATTCGAAGCTATTAGAGAGCTAATATGAAATCATAAATCATTATCGTCATAATTTACAGGGCGTCAGAATAAAAACCATTAATCATATCTTCAGAAATTATAAGCTTATGACATAGTCAAAATCTATGAGATAAAATTTGTAATATTACATTCATAAAGATGAACACCTTCAAATATAAAAATTCGCTACAAGTTATGTTAACCACTAAACATTGGTGCTTAAAACTTAAAAATGAGAATGAATGATGTAACATTATAATACATTTTTCCGGTTTCTTTTTGAGAAACATTTTAAGTGTTACAAAATGAGCAAGCTGTCAGCCAAAAGAAAATTCAACCTATGATTTGAAATTAAAAAACCTATAAGAACAATCCATATAGTGTTGAATTATCCAAACGTAATTCCCAGCAGGATCAATTAAAATCGCCAGTTGAGAAATGAAGGAGCAGTGTTAAACCCCACAATAGTGACAGCCAGGATTTTATGGACCCACCGAGTTTACGAGAAGATTAATGCCTGCGGGCTAAGCGGACACCGAATAGGTCCCATTCAGAATCTTCGTTCGGGCACGTCACCGCGTTCGCTCGTTTAAAAAATCAACGTCCGTTCCGGTTCAGTCACCTGTAGTCAAAACTACGAAACTCGGAAATCGATTATTGGATCAACGATTTTTTACAGTTACAACCTAATATGTCAGTAATGAAGGTATGTAATAAATCCAATATTTTTCACATTATGAATTACACTTATTTGAAATGAAAATTGAATCATTCCAAGAGATAATTTGAATTTCTGGTAATTTTTAAAAGTTTTGCTTATTCATTTTATTGAATTAAGGGATTTGACGATTTTTATTCTAAGTTTATCACAGCTGAGTTGAATTTAATTGGCTGAAGGCCACTTTCCTTGCCATGAATCACAGTGGGACACGACTTCGAGCTTGGCACACCCTTTCTTATTCCTTCGCTGCACAGGTAACCAAACAATAATAGGGAAGGGTAATCTCTTGTGGCCTTCAGCAGCCAGTTGATCTTAATCCGGCTGTAGAATGACTTGACAATGTGGCTTATCTAGTCGGACCACAGCATAGACACCATTCAGAAACTGAAATCGGACCGCGCTACTGTTCTGTTAAGTGTTTGTAATTATTTGTAATTGTTTGTAATCGCACGGTTCCTCTTTGGTATTTAATAAAAAAGTCTATAGAGATTATCAAATGCAATTATAAATTTTTGTATAAAGGTGTATAACATGTACATAAATATGGCAAAAAGAAAATGTTATATGCAACATATACGCTTTATTGCATCACTTTCTTAAACTAGTGCAAATATAATCTATTGAATTCTGATGAGTTTTAGAAAAAATTTATTTACGACCTTCGTTAATATAAAACACTTTTTTCGAGTTTATTTTGCATTTATTAAATGCTCCATCATTTATGAGTTGGAATGCATGTTCAAGTAAATTTAAGATGAATAAAAATTATTATTGAAAGTGAGCTCCGAAAGGAAGAAGAAATGTTCAAAACACCACCTGAATTATTAAAGTGTTCGCTCACGTTCAGTATCAACAATAAGCATTAGCTGCCGCAGCGAGTAACACAACGTGACAGCAGGGGAGGGAGACCAAGGGCCTATCCGGTCGGCCACGTGACTTCTTGCACGTGCGCCTTGTAATCCCAGTCTCGTTTGACCGCATTATAATAACAAGTAAACTACAGATCTTTTCACATTTTCAGCAAATGTCGAACGAAATATTATAACAATTTACTAAAAATCAAATCAACACCCACGCAAATCTCCAAACTAATTTATTTACTAAAATCGAAAAAGGAAAGTAATCCATTACATCATTCCACGTAATACATAAATTATACAATTTCACAGTATGGAAATCCACACAAAACTCGATTCTCCCAGCAAAAATCTTAAAAATAAACTTCAAACCCTACAACAAAACTTGTATCAACGTATGATTAACACGTCAAAATCAATCCGTGAAATACAGCCGGTCCCATCAAACTTTCTATCGAGTCGATATTTGTTGCACAATTTTTCTTGCACAACATAATATTCCCACACCGGTAGAAGTCGATACAAAGGGGTCGTTCGAATGTACTCCAACGAAGAACAATATTAACAGAGGCTATTATTATTATTGCCAAAAGTGCGTATTTCATGGAGGCGATTCCGGGAACATTCGTAGCCCACCTATATAAGCTGTTATGGCAGCGTGTAAACGAGACAAATGTGCGATCTGACGTAGGCAAGAATTCGAAGAAACGGAAGATATATGGGTACGCAAGGTAGGATGGATCGGCCGCAAAGGATCCCAGGGCGAAAGGGACACAAAGGAGGGCCATTGCGGGACCGTTTCCCCGAAGCCCGGGCCATTTCGATATGCCGTTCCTCTCTCTCGCTGTTATTCCGCTGTTATCAACTTTCACTCGAAATACAACGCGTTGCGGCGGAGATGACATTACTCTTGGTACTTCCGCGGGTCAACCGACCATCCGTCTCTGTCCTCTTTTGTCCCGTCCCGGGTAATACGAGCGCATGTTTACGGACGCCCCGTTGATGCTTCGGATGGCCTCCATCACGGTTTGCGCAACGCCGACACAGATCTCTTGAACCAGATCTCGGATCTATGATCTCTGCTCGGAACCCTGGATCGATTCGTTAACGTCGATGTGTTTCCACTGTTTCGAACGGTGCAGCTCGCATGGATTAGATACAAAGCTGACCATACGAGAATTGTTTGTACAGCTCAGAAAACAGGGTATGTCTCGCTTTCATTTGAGGCATTTGCAGAGTCTACTTATTCAAACTCTTGATTGTTGATTGCAACTGTATTACTGCTTTTGTAGTTATTAATTTAAACGTGACTACTAGTTCAGGGTTAAATCTTTTGATAGTGCTCCGATTGCTTTGTTCGGTTGAAGCATTGATGGTAAAGCTCTGGACTGAAACATTGTTCTTGTTGTTATTAATTCAATGTTTATTGTTATTTTGACAGAATCTGTTGAAGAATGATTGAAATCTATAGAGTTATAGTGTCATTTTTATTACTTATGAAGTGTCTTTGGATGTTACTATTTTTGGATAGTAATGAAGTTCGTGTATTTGATGCTAGAAATATATATTTTAATTGGACCAATTAAACACAAGTGACGTTGATGTAATTATAAAATTTTGGGAAAAGCAGTTTTATAGGTTAAAGGAGAGAAAGGTGGCAGGATACAGTTAGGAACCGAACGTTACGAAACGAGTATTGAGATATCGAGAGTTGCCTGCAGCTAGGAAGATGTGCCGCTTCTTATGAAATCATACGCCAGGTGAAAAATTGAGATTTCGGATAAGGAAGATCTGTATGTTAATTCGATATTCTAGGTAGATGAAAGCGTGTGAATCACTTCACAGAGTCTCCGAATACACTCATTACATTATCTCGTTGAATCATCTCCAGTAACTTTTTCGTACTTTTGCCGTTTTTTCTCCTTTTTTTCGGCTGGACTTATCTCTTTACATCCTTCACGCATAATTTTTGAAGCACTAGGTCACGAGGAGAAAGGTAATTATTCTTATTCCCTGGCTTCATTTAGCTTTACCAGACGCAGCTAACTGAACACGATTCTTTACTTTCTTGAACGGTGATTACACGCTCGCCCGTGTAACCGAGGCAACTAACACAAAAATGGGAAGGAAAAAAAGAACGGAAACGGAAAAAAATACGTCCCAGGAGCCGACTTAAATTACATTATTAAGTTAAGAGCAATGGCGTGTAAAGTGAAAGAAAGTTCAAGCGGGGATAGCCTGTTATTAAACTACCATCCGGACACGCGATAATTAAGTTAGAGATGATAATCAGAATAATAACGTCATTATTTGAATTTTAATGAAGCCCACGATCTCATACCGACTCACGCTGCGTTTTACACGCTACATTTTATTAGAATTATGTCGCCGGCCCGGAATAACGGTACTTTCTCTAAAAAACTACGAGACTGCTAATGGTGACAGGCGCATTTCAGATATCGTGATTCCTTTCGCAACACGGACGCGCTCCCACGATAATTATGAAATTACAAAATGACGTGAACCGTGCTTTATTTTCGTTACGTCAGCGCGCCGGTGCGGGCAGCTTTACTTTCGACGGCCCCGCCGCGTATAATCATTTGCACGGAAGAAAGGTATAACAGTCGAACTTAAAAACTATTTTTTACGATTACTGTAATTTTTCTGCTATCAGAAGTATTTTCCGGTTTTGCGTAATGATGTCAATGTTAACCTTTAAAAAATAAAATTATGTACGAACGTTTTGTTTTGTTTACATCCACATGTCAAATAAAATCCTCCGATTGGGGAATACTGAATTTTATTTATTTGGCAACAATGAGGTCTGTACTTTCAAATATTTTTACATTAAAAGTTTTAACTGGTTTCGATTTTTATAAGGTATTCACAGTTCAATGTGCAGTAGCAGCAATTAATCGCGCTCATCCAATCCTTCGTTCAACTGTTATTATTAAGTCCATATAATATTATCCACGTTCAACAAGATACCGTATCAATGCAACTTTAACTGGAACTATAAAAGTTCGCTAAACCAGGAAGCGAATTAACTTCATTACATTCTTACTGATTACTCAAACGTACTCGGAGCCTTTTTAATCCAACGTGTTTTTACTCACAGAAATGTTTCGATTTTCAGTCCCTTTTGATCTTCCATTATAAGTCTGAAAACCTCTGTTCGCTGAAACGAAATTGTGGTCTCCAATTATTAATAATTGAATTTTACAGAAAGTGTTGTAAATGTCAAAATTATGTTCATCGTTATGTCATAATGACGTTACCTTTCAGTATTATGGGTATTATGGATGACTGCTCTTATTGACAACTACTTAAAAAAATGCACTTGAATTGTATACTACAAGGTAATGAAATGACATTTTCA